GTCAATAGCTACAGTAAATCATCGTGGATCGTATCAGCTAGCTACTAGCTATGTTTATTATCATTACAATCTATTAAGTTAGCAACCATATCACGTAATCATTTGCTCATAGTTGAGCAAAAAAAAAGTCAGCAAACAAAATAAATAAAAAATTTGGAATTTAAAAACCTACAAATAGGGATCGTAAAAAAAAGTAAGGAAACAAGGCTGGAGATATTGTAGATATTATTAAATCGTACTACAACTCCATATTTTGACTCCACCAAATGTAATTCTAGGTAACAGCATGGAGTCAAAATATGGATTTATAGTTTGAGTTAATAATGTCTACTGTATCTCCAGCCTTGTTTGCTTACGTTTTTTTACGATCCCTATTTGCATGTTTTTAAATTCCTAATTTTTTATTTACCTTTTGTGTAATATAATGAAACTATATAATGAAATATAATTGAAATTATATTGAAACCAGGCTCTAATGTTAGCTTTCAAACCACTTAAGAACTACTTTGACCATTTTTCTGTATTTTATTATTTTAGGATTCTTGCAACATTTTTTTTATTATTCGCGTTCACTATTAGGCTTAACAAAGGAAAATATTTACGTGTCTAAATACACATTGAAAAATCTTTATACAGGCATAATTTTTGAGGAGTATGTAAAAGTGATTCATTACGTATATGAATTTATATAAATTTTTTTGTTAGGTGACTGTTTTCCATAATAAGCAGGTTTCGTTCATCTACTTAGTGTTCTCATAATATGTCTTAATAAAACATTGGTTAATGAGCAGTATTAAAAAAATCAACAAATATTGTTCATTTATCTCTTCCTGTGACTCTTAACCGCTGAAGAGGTTTCATGAGTAATGGTACGAACGTCTTGGCACTGATAGAAGAAACATTAGTGACTGAAAGGGTTAAAATAGGTCAGTGACTAAATGGCGTTTGTATACACTAGAACTCGTTGACCTCGTTCGAAATTAGGGTTAGATATAGTTTTAATTTCTAAGTTAAACGTAATTGGGAAGTATTATTGCAGGTTGAGTGTCAGTCGAAAACTCGTTAAAGTTTTTTATTTTTTGTTTTAAAGCTATAAGTTTACGAAATATACTTATTGAGAGATTTGATTAATCTAAATGGTTTACCAAGTATTGCATTTAAAAAACAATAGTGGGTCACTATTATTCATGATGATAGAAAAACGCATAAGTTCAAGAAGTCTTGATAGAAATGAATAAAAACTCTGTAACCCGAGCGCTTTCAAAAGGTGGACCTTTCTTCTTCAAGGGTAAACATTAATATTATTATTTGAAACGTCATGGATATTTAAGTTTTCGTTCGAATTTGTTTCTTCTCGGTATGTTTGTTATTTATATCAATAAGTTCCTGAAGTGTCATATTTGAACTTGAGAACACGCCAGTGGTGAAGATGTGATCTGATTTTAGGCTTACATACAGATAGATCGTGGTTGGGTGGTGCAGTAGTTGACGTCTTACAGTAGTTAAAACACTAGCATCTTAAACACGCAATTAATAGTGAGTGAAGAATCGTGGTTGGGTGATGCAGTAGTTGACGTATTACCTTAGTTAAAACACTAGCATCTTAAACACGCAGCTAATAGTGATTGAAGAATCGTGGTTGGGTAATGCTGTAGTTGACGTATTACCGTAGTTAAAACACTAGCATCTTAAACACACAACTAATAGTGAGTGAAGAATCGTGGTTGGGTGATGCAGTAGTTGACGTATTACCGTAGTTAAAACACTAGCATCTTAAACACACAACTAATAGTGAGTGAAGAATCGTGGTTGGGTAATGCTGTAGTTGACGTCTTACCGTAGTTAAAACACTAGTATCTTAAACACGCAAAGTTCACAAGCTATTCATTCATTACATGTACAAAAATATCTATGTTCATTACTTATATAACTAATTAACAATCAGTATTTATTGTTACTTTTCTTATTACATTAGTATATGTTTTGTCCATTTTCAGGAAATGAAAGAACCGGTTCCTCCGCCACTCACTGCTATCGAGACACCGCGGAAAGAAGAACCTGAGTTTAGGTTCTTTCATTTTAAGGAAAAACCGGTAAGTATTAATACATATCTTAAGTAATTGTACTCGATTACTCATGCATGTACACCAACACACAGTTAAACTTCATAATTGTACTCGATTACTCTTACATGTAAACCAACACACAGTTAAACTTCATAATTGTACTCGATTACTCTTTCTTGTAAACCAACACACAGTTAAACTTCATAATTGTACTCGATTACTCTTTCATGTAAACCAACACACAAACTCAAAACTATAAGTATCGTGGACCAACAATACTAGGCTATGATAGTCATAGTTTTGATCAGCCTCCAGTATAGTATTTTGTGACACAACGTTTTTGATGTAATGTCTACAAATGAGTACTATTCACACCTTATTATAAAATGAGATCAAAAGTCTTGGTCAATGAAGATTTAAATTTTATTCAAACGTTATCTCACCAACTTTTAAAAATTAAGTAAAACGCGCCATTACGCATCTACTTTAGGTGCCTATTATTGTTAACGTAGGCGGACTGTTTTGAAAAAAGCCGAGATGTCGTCTCCCATTCTTTCAACAGACAGTTGTAGTCCATTAAAATTCTCATGTAATTAACTGTGGAAATGTTGTAACTGTTAATTAAATTAACATAACGTTTCATTAAACGCTATTTGCTCCATAGAGCTGTCAGCTACATGCCAGGTGTGTTACTGAGTGATTATAAAGAAAACTCAATATTTAAAACTACATTTCTCTGTAACTCACTGAAAATCACATGTTTTATTCAATAGATGGTGTTCTGTTTGTTTTCTATCCTCAGCCAATATATGAAACCTATTCCGTTCAACTTTTTTTGGGGGGTGGTGGGTGTGGGTGGACGTATAATTCTGAGTGTGTTTCTGGTGAAATTCAGCTCCCTTAGGACAATTAGTTTTAAAGATTAAATGATACCAAATATGGATGTTTTCCCCTAATTACTCTGTATTTTTTTATTTTAAAGTAACATGTTTTTTCACCGTTAATCTATTCGCTTTTTAAGATGTCAAATAAATATTCAAATAATCAGGAGCTCAATCTCTTAAGGGAATTATACATTAAAATTTAACATGATAGCTCACGTTCATACAATAGTTTGACGTTTTAAATAGAATAACACTGTGAGAAGTACCGAAGGTTTTTTGTTTCAAGATTCATTGTTGTAATAATAACACTAGTAGTAATGTAAATTGTGAACTTTTGTTATTGTTGTTTGGATACCGAAATAGTATGAACAATTTATTTGTTTGGGGTTGTATGTTATTACTGGTTCGGTTTTTCCTTTCCCGCGTGACGTGTATAACAAATGACGTGAAAAATACCGATTTAATTATTTCAACAGAGTGGAGTTAGAGATTATTAACATATATTTGGTTGAAGTTGTACCAGCTAGTGGTTATTATTATTATTATTATGGCTAATCTGTGTGATCTTCTGGAAGTGCTTTATGGATTTGTTGTTACTCGCGTGCATGATGATCAGGGTAATGTGTTTTCGAGGATGTGTGTGGACTAAATCATTGAGCTTAAATTCGTCGTAGCAGTATTTTTTGTTAGAGTATGTGGTTTTTGGTGTGTATTTTATACACCGTATTTCCAGCTGCAGTATTTTCTTGTTGGAGTATGTGGTTTTGGTGTGTATTTTATACACCGTATTTCCAGCTGCAGTATTTTCTTGTTGGAGTATGTGGTTTTGGTGTGTATTTTATACACCGTATTTCCAGCTGCAGTATTTTTTGTTAGAGTAT